TGCTGCTATTCCACAGCGAACGACAAGAAACATAGCCGCAATCTCCACCGTTCAAGTGTGGAGCTGAAGAGGAGAAGGAGGTCAGATTCGCGGGCGGGTCAATGAGTTCTACAGGAGAAAAGAGGCCGGATGACGCGCACACTCGCGCCAGTTGCTGCGCGGGAAAGTCCATTGGTTGCTGAGGAAAGGGGAGACAGGGAGACAAACCCACGCGCATGTTGGCAGGAGGCTCCCGGGAAGCGCAAGGCGCGAGTTATGAATAACCGCAGCCGTGATAATACGTACATTGTCGCGCCCTATAAAATATTGAATTGACATATACTAAAATGATCCGTAAATGCTCGTTGTGGACAAAGGATGGCTCGTTATATCCATTGAGAAGAATGTCACATTGTTAAAATGAGGTTTTAAATACATGGGCATTTATGAAAATTTAAAAGGGAATTACGATTGCTTCTCTATATCCATTAATTCATCATATCCCGCTTCATTATAACGAGTTTCTACTCAACGCGAAGCAGTGCGAGAAATGAACATGGGCTCCGCTGCTCGACAGCGGTGCTCCTAACATGAAATCAAGTGCACACGCGTGTGCACCGATTTTATGTTGATTGAATGCCCTGAATATTGTCGTTAAATGAGATTTTAACTTCAATGGCAGCGTGACCTCCTTGGAACGCAAAAATCTGGTTATCAGACCAGTCAGTACTTGAGGCCTTTTGCGGTCTCTCGCCCTTTTATTTTACAAAATAATTAATATTTTATTTACAAATTTTTTTTTATTTACAAATACTGCTGGCCAGAGGCCAAAGCAGGAGGGGCAAGATAATACAGTTGTCATACACATTTCAAAACAACATCAACAATAAAGAGAGTAAAAAGTGGAAAGCGTGACATATTTATACAAAAGCAACAAAAGGAAAGAGTGGGGAGGGAAAAGAGGAAATAGTTGGAATAGTTAGAAAAACAACTTCAAATTTCAGCGTAAATAAGATCGGGAGAGTGTAAACTGCTTGCAGGCAAATCGTTCCACTCTTCAATGGTACGAGGAAAGAAGGAAAATTTGAACAAGTTGGTACGAGCAAAATATGGTGTTAAAGAAAGTGCGTGTGAATGCCGAGTCTGGCGTGTTCTTAGTGGTGTGAGGTAGGGGTCAGGGTTCAGAGCAAACTTGCGGTTAGAAAGTTGGTACAAAAATTTGAGACGTAAGAATCTGCGTCTCGACTGCAAAGATGTGATACCATTTGAAAGCATTACACTAGTTACAGAACTACCAGGCTTGTAAAGAGAATAAATGAAATGAACTGCCCTCCGCTGAATTTTTTCTAATGCATCAATGTTAGTTTCAGTATAAGGATCCCAGGCAACGCATGCATATTCTAATTTAGGGAGAATCAAGGATTGGTAAGCTAAATATTTCACTTTCGTAGGAGCATCCTTAAGTTTGTGCCTTAGCATGCATAATTTGCGGAAAGCTGCGGAAGAAACTTGTTTAATGTGAGAATTCCAACTTAAATTATTCGTTAGAGTGACACCAAGATACTTGTATTCCTTAACTTCTTTAAGAGGTTGGTTAGAGAGTGTGTAGCCAGTTAATACTGGCTTTTTCTTGTTAGTGACACGGAGCAGAACTGATTTATCCAAGTTTAGTTTCATCCCCCATTGATTGCACCATAGACATATATTGTTTAGAGTGGACTGGAGAGCTGCTTGGTCATTAGAACTAGTTATCGAGTTAAACAGAATACAATCATCTGCAAAAAGTCGAACGTTAACAGGTGGGTTTACACAATTTACTACATCATTACAGTATATCAAAAATAGTAGGGGACCGAGTACACCGCCCTGTGAGACACCTGAAGTAACTGACAGAAGAATTGAGTTCTGATTATTAATGCACACAAACTGGGAGCGATCAGACAGGTAGTTACAAATCCAGGCTAATAGAAAATTTGGAAGTCCAATAAGCTGTAATTTAACCATAAGTTTATCATGGGGGATGCAGTCGAAAGCTTTGCAGAAATCTAGGAATATGACGTCTACTTGGCCGCCCTTATCAATCACAGATGCAAGAGAATGAATGACAGTACATAACTGAGTTGTTGTCGACAAGCCCTTTCAAAAACCATGCTGATACGGAGATAAAAAGTTATGCTCATCTAGGTGTTTTGATATGAATGTTGTGACAATGTGTTCTAACATTTTGCTACAAGACGATATAATATGTTGTGCTTGTTGCATGTTGGGTTTGTTCCTACGTGTAATACTGTATTTACTCGCATAATGAGCGCACTCGCATAATAAAGGCGCCCCCAACTTCCGTCGTCAAAATTTGGATTTTATTCCCCGCATAATAAACACACCCCCTACATTCATCCCCAGCAGTCCCACTAATCGACACCTGGCGCCTACTTCCCTTTGGATCTCTTCCGCTTTTTAATTATTATGCCGACCCCCCTCGGCTCGTTCCCCCCCCCCTTGCCCGTTGCCGTATTGTTTTTCTTTCTATCTGTGCGGGGCACGTCCCTCATCTTCTTTATCTGTACACCACAGTGGGGTTCACGAATGTGAGTGTAGAGACATCGCAGCTGATAAGCACACAGCGAGCGAAGGTCACGAATCTGCCCGCCCAGACCGATAATCGCTTCCTGCAAATACAAAAATTCAAGGCCCAACAACGTGCATGCTATTTTTGAGCGACTACGACAGGATTTGCTGTGTCTAAGGGTCATTCATCGCTATTGCGTCTCAGGTTTCTGGAAAAACCAGAAAAAAATTGCTTGTCTCCCAGAAAAGATCGTGGCGATTTCCACAACATGGTAGCACCCCTGATACTCGCCTCGCATACACAAACTTCTCATGTGGAAGTGGGGCGGTGGTTGCATTTTGTCGTTAATCTTGTAATCAACGGTTTGTTTTGATCTTTCGGGGGTAGCCTGCTGCGTAGTTCGTTACTTGCTACAATGACAACGGCGGCGGCGTGCGAGGTTGCTGCGAAGTTTGCAAAATGCGTCGTAGCACATGCTTCTGGGCGCCCCTTGAGATCATAGTAGATACCAATGTTGTGGTTAAACCATTGCGAGAAAAGATAGCCACAAAACGCTTTTATGGCGTGCGCGGGTGTCGCGGGGACAGCTTGCAGAAGATAGCGCTATCAATCACCGAAGATGAGTAAAGTGCAACAAAGAACCTGTTGATGATATGTAGGGTATAACGTCCCAAAACCACCATATGATTATGAAAGACGCCATGTTGGAGGGCTCCGGAAATTACGACCACCTGGGGTTCTTTAACGTGCAACCAAATCCGAGCACACGGGCCTACAACATTTCCGCCTCTATCTGAAATGCAGCCATCCCAGCCGGGATTCGATCCCGCGACCTGCGAGTCAGCAGCAGAGTACCTTAGCCACTAGACCACCGCGGCGGGGCAACAAAGAAGCTGTTCCCAAACAGTCTACACGTATGCGAAAAGCTAAGTGACCCAACTTTATTTTTTTGCATTACAGCATTTTTTTGCTCATTCCAAAATAAGTTTTCATAAAATCTGCCCCACATAACAAATGCACCCCCCACTTCTCCGATTTTTCGAGAAAAAAAATGCATTCATTAAGCGAGTAAATACGGTATTTTTTGCTGCAACCGGGTTTCGTTTGCAATAAAAGTACACATATATGGCATTCGCATACGTGAGTAAACCGATGCAAAACTAACACTACTGCAATCACCGTCATGAACAGTGACGCATCTCTAGCCTTCTGCTGTAGTTGGGCTCATTGGAGCATTGGCTGCGGTCCCGCCGCAGAATAAGGTTGAATTTCATTGCTCCGAAGAAGTACTGGCGGCCAATTTTTGAAAGCGGCAACAGCCTGTTCGCAAGAAGGTAAAGAATTCTCTCATTAGACTCGACCACTGCCTCCGGTATTTAATACATTAATTAATGTTATTTAAATACTGCTGCAATTACAGTGTCTAGCAATTTCAAGATTTTTTATATTGTTCCGGAAGCTGCATAAAACTGCCCTGCAAGCCGCATGCGACCCGCGGGCCACAGGCTGCAGGCCCCCAAGATAGACTGTTTGGTGCAGTTTGGCACAATTTACGTCAATTTTATCAGGTTGACGCAGCACATCTGGTTTGACGCACTTTGGGGCAGTTAGCGCAGGAATGAGATCTCTGATTATAGTCTCACATTAACACGTATTGCATGTGAAGAGGGCACTTCAGAACTGAAGACACAGGTCTGTTTCATTGTTTGTGATGTGAAAGGTGAAACTGTTACGCGTCAGCCCAGTCAGTGACTTTTTTCTCTTCCTCTACAACTTTCCTTCTCCTCTCCCCTTCTCCAGGGCAGGGTAGCCTATTGGGACTCAGCCCTGGTTAACCTCCCCACCTTTCTCCTTATACTTTTCTCTCTCTCTCTCTCTCCAGCTGTGCACTAGACATTGCTCAGTTTTTTACATGTCCAGCAAATCTGCTCAAACGAAAACTGACGAAGCCCATATCATCATCAATACCCAGTGCTAAATTTCCTTTTTTTAAATGTCAAATAGGCTGCCTTAACATTTCGAGGAAAGTATTTCTTAATAACACATAAGGAAACAGTTCACAAATAGATTAATAGAGCAGAGGCAGCATTCCATACATTTTTTAAAAAATTCCCTCAATGAACAAATTGTGCACTTTCTGTATGCACTACTAGGAACATTGGGGAAATGTGAGCAATGTCACTGTGTAAATACCTTGTGAGCGAGACTTCTTGCAACCTATTGCTAGAACGTTTTGGTAAAGGTTAACATATTTTTGACCATCATACAAAAGGCCTCTGCAAATGTGCCACTTGCAACAAGAAACTAATGTATTTCTTCGACAGTACTAACAAGGTGACTAGAACTTATTGAGCAACGGGATGTAAAAACAAAGCTCCCACCAGTTATAAATTTGTATCCTGCACTAAGTGAGATTTATGAATAGCTAAGTCAGTATGCATGAGGTACTTACTTCGTCAATGAGGACAAACACAAGAGTAGTTCCATCGTCAATGAGGCACTGTATCTTCTGAAACAGCTTCATTACAAGTTTTCCACTCTGAAAAATGGAGACAAGAGTTGTGTGAGATGCTTGATGTGCTTTTCATGAAAGCTGCCACAGCTGACATTCCAGCTTAGCAGTACATAAAGCAGCAAGTACAAATCAGCAACCAAGGTGCAGTTAGAAGTAATTTGCTTGAGTAAAGTTTTTACCACAGTGGTTACACCACAGCGACTGTTGATACTATAAAGAACTATAAATCTTTTCAAGAAAGGCACCCGCCTTCATTGGAAACCTTTAATATCATGCAAGTGCTATGTTACGAATTTTCCGTGCCATAAGCTTTGCAGAAGGTTATCTTGTTCAAGGTTGAAGAGATTGTAAACTGGATGGTACACTGCCTAAGGTGGCAGACTGGTTTTTGAGGCCAAAAAGTGACGAAAAAATTCATTTTTAAAACTGCTAATTAAACATTTGAAATATTGAAAAATATTTAAACTCATTAAATATTTGAAATATTTGGAAAATGGCATAATGCTCATTTTTTCTACTGATTTCAAATATTTTTTTAGTTTTCCTGTAACTGATTTTGTTTCAGAGATAGCTTAAGTCTACCCCCTATAGTTCAAGGCTGCCATAGAAAGAAAAGTGCATAATTAAAAGTGATGCCAACATAGACTAATGAGTATAGATTGAAAGTATGCAAGAGTTTTTTTTTTTTTTTTTAAGCCTTTCCTGGTTATTTTACAGCAAAATGAACTATCCATTTTCAAAAGCAGTTGAAATTGTGTTACAGTTTTGATGAGGAATTAATTAAATTGGCTTGTGCTCTAAATTCTTCTCCCATACTTGCATTCTACACACATACAGGTTTCCATTGCAAAAAGAATTATTGTTATTGTACCTGCCCTAACTGCAGAGATATTGAGGCCTCAAAATTTAACAGTCGTAAATTTACTTTTTTGAGAAAAATAGAAAAAACTGAAAACACACAGCTTCTTGAAAAAGCAACAATCATGGTGCGCATGCTTTGCGATCCTCATAAAGGTGCTCACAAATTCGTAGTGGAGCTTTTAACACAGGAGCGGGCAAACTATAAAGAAGCCTCGAAGTCGGTTTTCCATTTTTTGGCAGGTTCTGCATGTTAACAGCACCACGAATTTGGACAGTTAGAATGACATAACAAAAAAATTACTACTTTCTGGTGTGTGAAAATTTGTAAAGAGATAGAAAAATGCTTGCAGTAACCAAATATGGCAGTTTTAAAAAATGATTTTTTTGTCACTTTTTGGTCCCAGAAACCAGTCTGCCCCCTTAAGCTAGAAAGCCAATAAGAAGATCCTTCAGCTTTTCTTTTCTCTAATGCTCATTTTGTCAATAAAGCACCCACAAGATCAGAGTTGCCAGATACTACCGAGCTAACAAGCAACTACTAATCCTTCAAAAAAAAAAAAGTGGCAAACCTCTGTAAAGAAGCTCTAAAGAAGGTGAAGTTTATGAAATTCTCACATTTGTGCAACATTTTCTTAATTACAAAAGAAAGTTGCTGCAGAATGATAGGATGGCAAAAAGCAATTTTAATTATTTCTTTACAACAAAAACATGTGCGACCATGTACAAAAAGACATATTTCTTTTAAACTATATTAAACGTGCCCTGCCTATGACCATTTCTTCCTCATGATTTCGACTATGATATCCTTAACCCCATTTGTTCCTTGATCCACTCTGCTCTATTCTTGACTCTTAAGGTTACACCTATAATTTTCCTTTTCATTGCTCGCTGCGTCGCCCTCAATTTAAGCAGAATTCTTTCTGTAAGCCTCCAGGTTTCTGCTCTGTAAGTCAGTACTGGCAAGATACAGCTGTTATATACCTTCCTCTTGAGGGATAGTGGCAATCAACCTGTCATAATTTGAGAGTGCTTGCCAAATGTGCTCCACCTCATTCTTATTCTTCTAGTTACATCAATCTCGTGGTTCGGCTCCGCGGTTATTACCTGCCCTTAGTCTTTTACAACCTGAAGTGCACAATTCCCTATCTCAAAGCGCTGCTCTCTCCCGATGTTGTGTACATTTGAAACCCACCTTTCTGCTCTTCTTGTCTAATTCCATAATCATGAGTCGCAATTCGTCCCCTGAGTTACTCAGCAATGCAATGTCATCGGCGAAGCGCAGGTTACTAAGGTATTCTCCATTGACTCTTATCCCTAACTGTTCACATTCTAGGCCTCTGAAAATATCCTGTAAGCACGCGGCAAATAGCATTGGGGAGATTGTGTCCCCCTGCCTTACACCCTTCTTAATTGGTATTCGGTTGCTTTCTTTATGAAGCACTATGGTAGCAGTTGATTCCTTGTAGATTTCTTCCAGGATGTTTGTATATACTTCATCGACGTCCTGATTCTGCAGTGTCTGCATGACGGCTGATATTTTTACTGAATCAAACGCCTTCTCGTAATCTATGAAGGTTATGTGTAGTGATAGGCTGTATTCTGAGCATTTCTCTATTACCTGATTGATATTACCGGATTGAATGTGGTCGATTGTTGAGCAGCCTGTTCGAAATCCTGCTTGTTTCTTTCATTGATTGAATTCTAATGTTGCCTTAAGGGGGCAGACTGCTCTTTCGGACCAAAAAGTGACAAAAAAGTTCATTTTTTAAAATTGACATATTTGGTTTCTGCAAGTATTTTTCTATCTTTCTGCAAATTTTCACGCACCAGGAAGTAGTTATTTTTTTGTAATGTCATTTTAACTGTCCAGATTCTTGGTTCTGTTATTATGCAGAACCTGCAAAAAAATGGGGAACCGACTTTGAGGCTTCTTTATAATTTGCCAGCACCTTTGTCTAAAGCTCTACTACCAATTTATGAGCACCTTTATGAGGATTGCAAAACATGCGCACCATCATTGTTGCTTTTTGAAGAAACTGTGTGTTTTCAGTTTTTTCCATTTTTCTCAAAAAAGTAAATTTGTGACTATTCAGTTTTGAGGCCTCAATATCTCTGCAGCTAGGACAGGTACAACAATAATTATCCTTGCAGTGAAAATCTGTATGTGTGTAGAATGCAAGTATGAAAGCAGAATTTAGAGCACATGCCTTTTTAATTAATTACTAATCAGAATTGTAACACAATTCCAACTGCTTTTGAAAATGTATAGTTCATTTTGCTGCAAAATAACCAATAAAGGCCTAAAAACAAAAACCTCTTCCATACTTTCACTCTATAGTGATTAGTCTATGTTGGCATATCCTAAATATCACTTTTAATTAAGCACTTTTTTTTCTATGGTGGCCTTAAACAATAGGGGGTGAACTTAAGTCATCTCAGCAACAAAGTGAGTTACAGGAAAACTAATTGAATATTTGAAATCAGCAGAAAAAACTGCATAACCCTTTGCAGTTTTATCAAGATCACTGAAGAAATAAACAAAAAATGTCTAAGACCAGTCTGCCCCCTTAATTCTGTTAGCAATTGTTTTTGTAAGTAGCTTGCATACAACAGAGAGCAACCTGTCAACCAAATTGGGGGCAAATGAAGCTTGGAAAGCGCACGCTCGACCTACTACTTTTCTTTTTCTCTCTGCAAAGGCATGATACCAACTGTGCCTTGGTATTGTGCCCAGTGACTTATGATACGGCACCATAACAGGAGGTAGTACATTCATATTGAATGAATGAATGAATAAACTTTATTTAAAGTCCAGTAGTTTTACCAGACGAGGTGGGGAAAGAGGGGATTAACCCCTGTCCCTTCCCACTCTCCGTCAATTATGATGGCAAGGCCTCAGATGCAGCATCTTCAGCTTGCCGGGCGGCCCAAAGCTGGTCGGCCAGCTCGTCCTGCCTCCCAGCGGCAGCGCAGCTGACGCCGCCGATCAGCAACAGTGACCGCAGCAATTGGCCTCGGAGTTCGTCCCTGCCTAACATGCGTCTCGAAGGGAGCGACGGCAGTGACATCAACTTTTCCAGCACACCCCCAAAGCATGTGCCGCAGTGTGGCCCTTTCCCCGCATGCTTTACACGCGCCCGCCGGGTATAGGTGAGGATAACACAGGCGTAGGATCACCGGGCTGGAGTTTGTATTTGTCTGTAATAACCTCAGAGTTACGGCCTCTCTTTTGTCCAATTTGTTGTGTGGTGGTGGGCATTTGCGTTTGTTTAGTCTGTAATGTTGGGTAATGATGTTGAATGTGGTCAGGCGATCACCCCACGACTATTCCAGTTGTTGTTGTTTAGATAGTGCCATCGCCTCGCTCTCGAAGCTGAAGGCGGCCACCGAATCGGCCGTGGCTCAGTGAGTGAGATCTCGAGCTGCGGTGTGGGCCGCCTGGTTACCTGCGAACGGGATGCTGTTGTGAGCTGGGGTCCACAGAAGGAAGACATTCACATTTTCAATTTTGAGATACGAGGACGACGACGCCGAGGCCATCGCTCCTCGAAGCTCGCCGCTGTCTTTGTTGCCATTACTTGATTGTAGGATCCGGGCCGCCAGACACAAGATGCGACCGCGCGCGAAGCCACGGGCGGCAGCTTGCGAGTCGCTGACCACGACCGCAGCTTCCGGTGCTGCGACCAGGGCAAGAGCAATCGCCGCCTCTGCGTGTTCCGTACACACCGTGGCGCTCGCGAGGCATTTGCCTGTGCGATTCACAACAGCGGTAACGTGAGCACGCCTTCGCTTTGGGTATCGCACGGCGTCCACGAATACCGCTTCGCCGCTGTTGCCACACATTCTTTGGAAATCACTCGCTCTTTTGTTGCAGCGCCTGACGTGGTGTGTCGGGTGTATGTTCCTAGGGAGCGGTGGGACAATGAGACGGTCGTGGACCGTGATAGGAACCATCGTCTTCTCCCCGCATTGCGTGTGGTATGTTATGGCTAGAGATTCGAGGATGCGCCTGCCCATCATGGACTTGGACAATCGCTCGTATTGTGCAATGTTGTGCACCTCAATCAGTTCGTCGACGGTGTTGTGCAGGCCCAGCTCGAAGAACATGTCGGTGCTCGTGTTGGCAGGTAGGCCAACCGCCCTCTTTAAGGTCTTGCGAATCATGCAACTGACCTTGTTCCATCTGAATGCCAGCCATTTTAGATAAGGGGCGACTAATTTTATGCGACTGCTTGCGTACGCCTGTACAAGGCGGATCGCACAGCTTTCCTGCATACCGCTGCGTCTATTCGTTGTGTAGCGTAAGAGTCGAATCGTGTCATCTACGGAATGTTTAAATCTTCTAACTGTCTCACCGTTGTGACCGTTGGCCTGCAGATACAGTCCCAATATCCTTTTGTTCTCTACACTCGGTATGGAAACGCCGTCCCCCGTTATTACTCTGATTTCTGATCTCCCTCCCTTCTCGTGGGTCTGTATAGCAATAGCTCGGACTTAGCTGCTGAACATACGAGGCCTGTACCTCTAAAGAATTCCTGCACCACGTCCACGCCCATCTGCAGCGTTCGCTCCACGTGGCCATTACATCCTCCTCCGTAAACCCAGAGGGTGATGTCGTCCGCGTAAAAGCTGTGATGCAGACCCTCCATTGTCGCTAGTTTCTCGGGTAGCCCAAGGAGGACGAGGTTAAACAACATGGGCGACACGACGGAGCCCTGTGGCATACCCGTAGGACCCGTTATGAATTCCGATAATCCCGCGTTGCCGACAACAACGTTCGCAAGCCTGCCGGTGAGGAAGTCTCGTATATAGTTATAGTAAAATTTTTGGCCTAATCTCAGCGATCAAGCACGGTCGAGAATCACAGCATGCTCGACGCTGTCAAAAGCTTTTTTCAGATCAAGGCTGAGAATCACCTTGGTGGAACTAGTTTCAGCTGCAGCATCACGTCCTGTGCGGAGAGGTTGTGGCGAAATCCGACCATCGTGGGGGGGGAAGACGTCAGCGTTTTCGAGGTGATCAGTAACACGAGTCAGGACAGCGTGTTTCATGACTTCACCCACGCAGGACGTGAGCGAGATCGGCCTTAGGTTATCGATTGTCACCTGTTTGCCCGGTTTGGAAATCATGACCACGCGGGACCTGTTCCACGCATCGGGGAGGGAGACCTCTTGCCAGCAGTCGTTAATGTATTCCACGAGTCGCCTGATTGACTTATCGTCCAGGTTGCATAGAGTCTTGTTGGTTACTCGATCCAGGCCGGGAGCAGACCTGGTGTTGAGGTGACTTAAGACTGCCCCAATTTTGGCTTCACTAAACTCCGCGTCTAGCTTCTCATTGTTGTCTCCCTCATACATTGCGTGCTGTGTTCTTTCTCCTGCTCTAAAATAGCACTCGCGAACGGCCTCAAGAAATTCATTTGGCGTGCCCCCAAAGTCACGTACGAGCCTACTAATCTTCATATTCAGGTGAAAATAAAAGGTGGCAATATGAGCTGACAAGTGGCCTTGGTAAAACATTTGATTGTCATATTAGAAAGAGCTGATCGCTAACAAGCCCATGGCCCAGGAGTATCAGTTATAGAAAAACAACACAAATATACATGTGACCAGTACACCATCAAGAGACATATTTCTGTATGATCAAAGAATGTACTTGTTCCAATGCTGGGTTATGATGTAAGACAACACCGCTACCGAAAGTAACTCATAACAACTTTGAAAAAGCGAAGCAATGAATGCCAATGAGTCCAACTATTAGGACTAGCATTAAGGCTAGAACTCGTCAATTCATCTACACATGTTCAAAGCACATGTTCAGTTCTATTTCTTACCTCTGAGAACCACTTGGAGAAAAGACTGTGACTATTGATCTCCAACAGCTGACCACAAGTGAAACGAGAGCGCATCCTAATAGTAAGTTTTTGCGCAAGAGCCCTGCACAAGGAGGTTTTCCCTGTGCCAGGTGGTCCTGGAAACCATACAAAAGTGATAATAATGCAAACAGACCATAAATGCAGCAAATCAATGCACATGCATGTCATTGCATCAATGCTGCTAGTCATGAAGACAGGATAAATGTGGTCTGACAAGACAAATGGAGTACAATTCTACAGATACACGGCAAAGCCAGAAAAAAAATAAAGCCCGACAGAAAGCTTTTGTGGAATGTTACATCCTCACAGTAACACCATAGCTAATTGCTACAAAGTAAATGTCTACAGTTATAACGAAATAAAAAAAAAACGTGGTAGAAAAGTAGCTTGTGGGTGAACAATATCAGCTGTGAACACCATAGGCTCAGGCACTGATTAAAGGTGGTTCTATAGATCCATCACATAGAAGCACAGCATTGCAAGCAAAATTACATTTCTTATGGAGTTTAATGTGCAGAATCCACAATAAAGTTGGCTAGCAACTACTGAAATTTGGTAATGAACATGCCTTTATGCCACACATTACTTTTTCCATTCATCGCACGCTTATTACTGCTGTCACTGAACTAAACTGCTGCAGTATGTTTTTAGCTCCATTTACAATGACTGGCATGTCACTTAATCAATTTGCCCAAATAAGAATAACACAAGCAATCCCATGTAAAACCAATCTCACCATGCAAAAGCACAACCTTGTTCCAGGCTATGATGTTAGGGTCCACTTGCTTATCAGCAAACAGGAGGGCCGTGGAAGAATAGCTCAACAACTGTTTAAGCAGTACAACACCATTATCACGATGTAAAAAAGCTTGATGCACTGTCACTTGGTTCAGTGGTTAACATAGAATAATAAAAAGCCCTAAGATAAGAATACCCTAAAAAGTAAATGAGTATATTACTATCAAAAGCTGTAAGATTACTTTAAATGCCACTCCAAAATATACACAATACTAGGGCAAGTGTGCTACTGTTTAAGGTTGTAAAAATTTAATGTGCAGAATCTGCATTAATATTGTGTTAATTTAAAGATGTCAGTGCTATTCCAATGCTTCTATTTACTGCCTTCTAAATAACTAAACAAGGCTCACTTTTTCTACAGATGAACTCTTCTAGTAGCACACTGACTGCACTACTCAATGCAACAGGCTAAGAAAAAAAATTAATTGGGAATGACGAAATGCCGATCAGTTCCTGCTGTGCAATTGCTCTGTGACACATGCAATGTCATCTTTGTCTTAAAGTTACCTACAAGATAATGCAGTGCTACCTACCAAAAGCGGCAGTATGCAATCTTCAAGGCATAATTATAAATATTTACCTCACGTTTTATTGGACTTTCATAAATGAGGCTCTCCCAAAGGCCCTCGAGATGTGCAGAAGGAAGAACCCAGTGATTTGCAGCAGCCATGCCATCTTCAAGCTCTTCCAACCCATTATCATCATTCAACTCGTACACGTGGACTACAAGAGTAGCAGAGTCCAGTCTTCCCTGAGATTCAGAAGAAATCATATGTGATGAAAAGCAGTAGTTAAACCCCTTTACAAGAGGCATGCTTCAGGCACTAATTATTGTCTTTTATATGAGATGTCCCTTATAAGCAGGGTACCTCATATGCATTTTCTTATCAGCCTGTATTTTACTGTTTTTCTCTTATATCAGCGTCTCTTATAAAGGGGTTCGACTGCACTGTAAGCAAATTTCTCAGATATTATAAATATTGCTCAAGTATTGACAAACAGGTCAACTGGTGAAGCTAAGTGAACCAGTGGAATAGATAAAAACATGCACAGCCGTCACCACGCTTTACATAAACGCACAGCAGCATGGCCTGGACCGTCTTGGACTGATGCCAATGCAACAAAGTGCTGGTTGGTACGTCCGCAGCAGGTGACAATAGGTGAAGCTATCAATAGTAAGCACACCCTCCTTTCCAGTTAGACACAAGCAAAAAAGTCTACCAGTTCGGTTGAGATGCGTTCCAGCTATTTTCAACAGCCAAAAACAAACCTGGATACACTTCATGGTGCTGGTATCAGCTTAAACTAGTCCAGGCCATACTGCCGAACATTCAAGTTAAGCATCCTGATGCTTGCACATGCATTCAGAACACCACAGTACTATTGTATACTATCTTCAAAGCACATGTCGCAGAATAAACACACTAAAAAACACAGCATACCACAAATTGCACTTCTTTCATTCGATGCTTGCACTTACTGCTCATGGCTGCTCACATTTGTTTGCCGGCTCATAGCAGTGAACATTATAGAGACTGGCATGCTGATCACATAACCCCAGAAAACTACAGCCACAGTGTCATACTCAGCATATACATGCATACTCCCAGGTATTTCTCTTGTACTCGGTTAAGTGGCACTGACCAAAAAAGTTTGGCTGATGTCCAGCAAATTTGCTAAAAGCGTGGCCAGGTTTACGACATTGTGTTCTAGCGAGAATGCAGCACTACTCCATACCAAGCACTTCATTGCATGCAAAGAGTGTGTTCATAATAAAATCACAGTGATGCCAAAAGGGCAAAACAGCGAATGTGGTACCAACTAGTTGGAAGGTTATACAAAGAAAAGTCGACAGATAACTCCTTTATCATCTGAACAGGCGTAACTCAACAAAAAGCTGGCATATGAAAATGCGGACACCGCAGCAAGCAAAACAACTTTCGTGCTGTGCATCAAATCAATTGAAACAGAGCAATGAGACGAACGACAGCACAACAAAGGTATCAGCTGTCTGCCCACCCCTGTCAAGATAGGGCGAACGTGACTGCTCCCAGCTGTTTAAAGCAGGTAGGCCTTGCGTGTTATAAAAGACAGCCAGCACATTTTCTTTTTACATGGACAGCGATCGAGCACCCTCGCATGCAGAACATTTGATGTGCAGGGCTGTTTCAACCCTTGATCTTCATACATAACCTCATGACGATGACAAAAAATTCTGGAGTGTCCATAGAGTTGCTATCACAATAAAACACACTGCTGTGAGTGCACGAAAAGCAGTGGAGAGAAAGAAAGAAGGGGCGTTACCAATATGAACATTTTGTATTAGCAGATGAGTCATTCTGTTCCCAACCTAGCGCCCGTACTGATAGCTTGTTTTCAAGTATCTGCTTAATACTTGTATGTTGGTCAGGGTGAAAGCCATATGCATGCATCGTGCAGGCCTCTGCTTTATCACAGATGCCATGTACTCGCAGTTCACCAAAGGACGATGAAGCCAAAGAAAGCATAGGAGGTGTTATTTGTAATCTTTATTCGAAGGGTAGTAAATATAGGATAAAAGAAAAATAAATTAACCTCACTACACGTGGGAACTAAACTAACAACCAGACAAAAGAAAAACCTATTTGGCTGAATTTTTCAAGAAATAAAGCTGAATTACTCTCATGTTTCACAATACAAAAAATACAATTTGATTGAGAAACCACAGCTACAACTGAAGCATGTTTAGGCTTATTCAGTAGCCTAGCTTTCTGTTTTAAAGGAACCACGACACGGCCACCCAGCATTTTGGGTTTTAAGAAAAAACTAGAAGCAGAGGGTCTATTATGCCTATACAGATATGAAAAGTGGTCCGTAAAAAAATATTTGAGTGCAAACAGGCCCTAAAAGTTGCCGGCTGTCGATCACGCCCATCGCCAGCGACCGGCATGTTCCCATGGCGCCTGTGACATCACGTGCAGCAAGAGGAGTGGTGCCGTCATCTTCTACCACAGTTTCCCCCCCCCCCCCCCCAAGCCACTGCAAATCCCAATTTCAGTGGCAAGCAGAAAAAAGCTAAAATATCTCAATTTGATTCACTTAAACGAAATCACTAAGCTCTTTTAGAGAGGCCAACAAGAGTTACCGCATCCGGAAAAGAAATTAACACGCAGCCAGTCGGTAATGTAACGCTTGCTCCAGACTAACTCATACCCCAGCCCCTGGTGCATGAAGCACATAGACCCAGACTACCATCGACGTGTCTGTGAAAAGCGTTGTGAATATGTAGGTTTGAAGCACATGCTATGTGGCTGTGCATCAAGTGACACGCCAAGAAGGAACAGTGGGCCAAAGTGCTAAGAAGTGCAATACTAGCAGACCAACTTTGGGCTGTCCAAGAGCTCCGCGAGGCAGCAGAGAGCTTCAGGCTCTGTCGCGACGTGGGAGATGCCCTCTACACCTGGCAGCTAGCCGAGTGTCCTTCAGGACCACCCCCCCTTTTTTTTTCGGTAATAAAGTTTCAACACCACCACCATGCACAGCTGAACGCGGAACAATAACATTCATCAAAACGCAGAAGCTAGTGCTAGTGTTGCCCAAGTCGCAGGCCAATCGCCTCTTTGTAAGAAAATTCAGTTATAAATAAGTGCCTTCCCATATGCACTAAAATTTCGCCACTTTATTGGTGAATGATAAAGGATTAACCCACATAACACAAATTATGATCAAAAATTCGGCATCATGGCCCCTTTCAAGGACTGCATGGGTGTGGGCTTCGGTTCGAAAGTTCACTGACAAAACATGGTTTGACACTTGTCATCGCCTGTTTGGAGCAGATATCAAAGAAAAAGGTTTAAAAATGATGTCACTTCTGGTTGTGCCGGCCTTGTCCTTGACAAAAGAGTTGGTCTAGCTTTGAAACATCAGATCTTAAAGGTAATACTTTGTTGACGTCATATTAGTTGTGGCATTAAGGTTACCCCCTAATAAGATAAGTATCTATTGAATACTCACCTTTCAATCAATGTCAAAGTAATCTACCTAATTGCATTATAAAGAAATCTAGTTTAAAGACAATGCACCACACTACTGTAAGGTACAGGTAAAATACAATCCTTACACACAGACAGCCACACACATTAAAAAAACATGAAAAACACCAATAGCTTTGTTGACAGTTTTAAACACATTCAGTAAATTAATCTCTTCTTTTTTTGTGAGCCAACTCACCATATCCTCATCTTTGTACTCGGTTATTACTTTGTCCAATTCACCTGCAAGATCAGTTTCAGCAAAATTGGTCAAAATATGTGGGTAACCTCTCTGTCTCACTAGTTCTTCAACACGTGCACTGATTATGTTGTCTGAGAGGAAGCTGAAAGAAAAAAGTGCAAAACAGCAATATTAAGAATCTCTTAAAAGCATTACAAAACAGGAAAATAATGCTAATTTCTGGGGCATTACATGCCAGAACCATGATGTGATTATGAGGTGCACCACAGAGAAGGGCTCCAGAAATTTGAACCCCTTGGGGTTCTCTAATGTGCAGCTAAATCTAAGTAGACAGGCATCTAGCATGTTGCCTCCATCGAACTGCACCTGGCACAGCCGGGATCAAGCTACTTGGCTGCTGGTAACAGTGCTTGGATCAAGCCCATGATCCAAGCACTTTTACCAGCAGCCAAGCACTGTTACCACTGTTCCACAGCGGTGGCACAAAATAATTTAAAATAAGCATATTTAATCAAAACTGAAAATACAGCCAACCTGACTCCATTCTTGATAATGCCGGAAGCTGAAAAGAGGCGGTATCCAAGGAGCAGGATAAGAGTGCAGACATTATGCAGCCTCAAAGTATTATTTTATGAAAACACCATGCATTTGTTTGTATAGCTATGGACTACGTCTCATGTCTTCTATAGCTGCCACACCAGGCATGCTGATACCCACCAAGGTGGCTCAGCGGCAATTAGCATAGGCATGCACAGGGTTCCCCTTTATGGAGGGGGGGGGGGGGGGCGAAGGTTCGTCGCAGCACTAGCCCTCCCTATTATGTTAATGTAAGAGGCTGACCTTGCTCCCCCCCCTCTTATGTGACTAGTGGGAAGGGCGACTGCCCCCACCCCTGTGCTATGGCCATTAGACAACAATTCTGAGCACGCGGTCATGACTTTGAGCACATAGTTATGGTGGGCGCATTCTGATGGGAAAAGAAGGTAAAAACGCAGAAAAGCCCGCTTTGTTTGGGGCAGTTAAAGCAACGAGAAAAAATACAGCCTCTAGCGAGGCACCACAGAGGCTCATTAATAGTGCACATTAGGTTTCTTATATGAGGACCATTATTTTACTCCTCCATAGCTGCAATAAGGTGGCATGTATTAGAGTTACGTCAGTTCTGTTGGGACAACCACCTCGTCATCAGCGCTATATCCTGACAGCGCTGAACAAGTTATTGTGAGCAACTAAACTCGACAAGAGGCTAAAAAGTTTTTGGACATTCAAGGATTTGCTCCATCGCCCCTTCTCTCTCCTTTCTTTACCGCCCCCTCCCCATTCCTAACGCTGAGTGACAGTTCAGACCGACCTCTCAGCCTTTCTTCCACAGTAAACCTTTCTTCCTCTCTTTCCTGCCTTACTATATTCAACAGAATCCTGCCCTTCCTCAACTATTTGCCAACTTGGTAACGAGCAACGAAGTAGTGAGAGAGAGAGGTGACATGAGCAAAAGATGTTCACCCTCATCTCATGCAACGTGGATCTTTATGCGCCTACGATAGTGTCAGATGGCTAACCATGTACACGTTCTTACCTGGCTCGTGACCTCTGCGCTTCCACATGAACACAAAGCTTTCCTGGTGTCGGTGAACTATCACCTGTGCAATGGCTGCTCATATTTCCTTCGCGATTCATTTCAAATGCCACAGATTTCGCAGCAACTTCAAACTACCTACTTGTTCGTTGTTCGCGCCCGATGCGGCCACTCTTTCAGACTGCTTCTATTGGTTACACGTTTAATGACGTTAAACCACATGACACAAGGTTTCTACTCTCGGCCCCAAACCAATAGCATGCGAGGAGGCGCTGGCTGGAGTTGAGAGTACGTATTGTTAAATTGTGTCTGCGCGATGAAACTCAGGAACGGGCTGCTTTAATGTGCGCTGTGTGTGTCTGTGTATAGTTTTATGACATGAAGGCATTGTGTTAATCAGCATAAGAACGCTTGTCTTTGACGGTTCACGACAGTGTGATCTGCAGTTCACCTCACAGTCATGAGGCGGCTTTTCGTCGTTATTCTGCTTGCAGGTGAGTCACAAGTTTCGCGTAGGCTTAATATCTTGCATTTCTTGATCTTTTTATGCTTTGACAAGGATCTTGTAGTAATTTGAGCTGTTTTTCCTGTCCAGCCTGCGCTTTTGTAGAGTAGCGATAAATTTTCATTTACTTACATCCGCTGATTTCATCGCGTGTAGGCAGAGAGGACATCGAACGAAGTTGCAGCTGTTAAATACGATTAATCGGGGGGAACTCCCGAAGGCCAAATGAATTGATTTCGTTTGCGCTTAACTCTGAATTCGTGCGGGTTTGGTTATATGTTTACGTAATTCGCCGCTCCAGGTAATTTGCTGAGCTGGAGTTTATTCAGGAACGAGATATCGTGTAATCGATGTTCATAATGCCTTCGAACTTTTTCAGGGGTAGTTTGCTCGGGAAGCACTTCAATCAGGGGCCTGCTGCAGTCAAGTGGAGGAGCAGACTTCGGTAAAGTCATGACGATTTGTTATTGGACGCCATGAGCGTTAGTTTTGTTAAGATTACGCTGTGTCAGTTTCTTGACATTCATTCGTGGAGCAGGGCTTAACAGAGCGTTTGGTTGGCAGGAGTCTGCTGTTTTTTATTTGATTTCTTTCTGTTATGTCGGGGTAATCGTGCAATGTGAAAAGCTGCCCTCTTAGACAAGTTTCTAAAATATACGCGTAATATATTGAGCTGCTATCGTGCTTAATATGGTTCAAAACAGTGGCTGCTTATGTGTTAAGTGCAGGATACCGTGGTATACTGCGTAGGTAGATAAAATAGATTCCTGGGAGCTGCCATATACTGCCCAAGTTTCAGTTGCCCAAGTGATAGGATATTTCGTCAGCGTGTGAAGATTTTAAAGCTAACATAGTGATGAACGTTCAGACCAGTACACGTTTCAAATAAACCCAGGTGGTCATAATTGTCCCCCTACCTTCTTCACTACTAAGTTTCTCGTAATCATATCGAAATTTTAGTGCGCGAAGCCTTACAGTTTAACTTGATGAAGTTGATGTCTTCAAGGATTGGCGACACATTTCATAGGTATGACAGCACAAATGTAATAAGAAAGTGGGAAGGCATATGCAGAGTGCTGTAACATTTGCTGGCAGGCTAGTTGGTGATGCTTGTTCAATGGAATAGCAGCTCAAACATAAGAAGACATAGGACAGAATGATGCAATACTGAGGTGCTACAGCATGTTACTGAAGTTCATATGCAGCATTTCTGCTATGTGGGATGTTCGTGAATCTATGGTAATTACATTCAAAGCAGGTTTTTTTTTTGTGTGTGTGTGTGTGTGTGTGTGTGTGTGTGTGTGTGTGTGTGTGACAAATAAATAGTCTGTTACAGCTTGTAATTTATTGTCTTCACAAAGAAAATGGTAGAGCTATTGAACCCTTGTTTTCTATTTTTGTATGTATACCTGACAAGTAATCAATAGGATATTAGTTCCTGTTGAAGCAGGAAATATTTCCTTTTACTTCCTTATTTACTTCCTTCCCTCTGGAAATGTTCTTCAGTGCACTCGTACATATTTGTGCCGGTTAGTGCATGACAAGCATTAAGAAGTGTGCAGTGGACATGATGTGAGGAAAGGAGAGCACGGTTCTGTCCTTCCCTAGCATCCTGTCTATTGTCATATTTTTTTCTGTACAAGTTAATGTATGTATGTTATGTAACTAGGATATGTGTTTTGAATCCAAGCACTGGTGAAGATGAAGCTTGAGTAGGATGTGAGCTCAATCAATTTTAGCAGGCACCTTCATTTTTTGTGTTATCATATATTATTAAACAGTGCAACACAGTAATGTTTTGCATGCAAGTACAAATACCTGCTATCTGTACAACATGTTTTGTATAAATCACATAGAATGTTGCAGAGCTTGCAGGAGGCATAGCAGGTACATGAGAAAAAATAGTTGTGAATTCAAAAGGCGCTGACATGCACTGCTTGTTTATTGTCATTGCCTTCTTTGTGTTCATCTGTTACACTGAGCCTACATTTGGAATTGTGCCATTGACCATTTGCAAAAATCTGTTTTCCTACAAGGTTTGGTCCGACCAAAGCTCTTGTTCACAGACTACTTCTTTTGTTTCATGTGCTTTCCCCCCATCCCTATTCCAATTAAAGGAGTCCTGATGCAAGAATTCAAACACCATCTGTATGACATCAGCTGCAAATGCACCCTTAAAGTTATTTTAATAGAGCTTTGAGGTTCGTCCAGCTGCCTAATAAGAAAGTGATGCACCTAGTGATGATGGGTACTGTTTTATAAACAACGTACGTCAGGAATTTTAGCTGAGTTACCAGAGATAGGTACGTGATGTACAACTCTGGTAGCGAGACCCGATGTTGTAGAGCGGAGCTTAACCAGAGACATGCAAAACAAACATTACAACAACTTGCCCACTTTACTAACTGCGTGAACTTCTGAGAGTGAGCTAATCAGAATACTTTTGTTATTTTCTTTTTATGAGAATACTAGCACAACTATAAAAGGTAAGCTCTAATATATAATAATTGGACAAAACACTGCAAATGTCACTGCCAGCTCCACAGATGTCAAGAAGTCCATGGACAAAATAAATTTTCCTGAGTATTGTACTGCATGATCTAGTGCACACATAAGAGTTTCGGCTATCTTGATTATGCTGCAGCACCCGCATTGACACAGATTAACACATTTTCACATCTAGTTAAATGAACATAAATGTGTGCACCTTAGATGCATAGCTTTTGCATATCTTTAAAACCATGCCCAATCCTAGTACGACTCATTGAAGCATTACAGCACGTCACTTGCATGTTACAGCTGGCGTATAAAAGCAGGCAAACAAATAGCAGAAAACTACTTTGAAGTGCAGCTTGAATGGCAGGTGCGTCTAATTCAAAAGATGGACTAATGCTGTGTTGCCATTACTTCCATTCTCACTTTTATTTTGCAGTTTTATGAATTATCGAAGTGTAAATGGCTCAGCATGTATAATACTGCAGCTAATCTAAGGATCACAAAACCCTTTGCCTCTGTTGAACGATGCCAAGCAAAAAATTGTAGCCGCATGCAACATTCGTGCAGTGAATCGAGCTTTTGTAAATTATATTTATGCTTTCCCTGACTTCTTCCCCATTTGCGACACTAGATAAACATCATGGTTTGACGATCATTGAAACAAGCCGTCGCAGTGCTCAACATAGCAGACAAAACAAGCACTGGCGACACAGTGGAAGGTGGCGTGTGCCGTTACTAGTATTCGCGGTCACTTAGTAGTATTTGTTTATGGGCAGGTCGCAACATTCTGGAATATAACTCAACATTAATCTTGCACAGGGGCATTTAATGAATTAGCAGCCACTGAATAATAGCAAAAAACAAAGGTTCACAGCTTTTTTGTTACTGCTCTCTTAAGGTATGTAATCATGCAAACGCTGCTGCTTTTTTTTTTTGAATGGGGAGAGGAGAAGGCAAGATGTGTTTGGGCAAGCTGGCTGATACTTGATGCGAAAGAAATGAGTGTGAAAATATGAGGACATAAACAAGAAGCATGCAGAAAAGGTGTAAATCTTTTAACTGAAGTTTATTGAGAAAAAGACACGAAAAATTCATAATGGCAACCAATAAAGGCAATAACATTTGTGGTGCATCCACTCGATAACGAAATTGTCAAGACCCCGCCATAAACACCACATCATGGCCATGCACCATTGCACATTCAGCTGCAGTAAAGCATAAACGTGACAGAGAACATCCAAGTTTAATGCACCACTTGATTCTTCCATCAAACATGCTTGAAGTGACTCGTGTGCAAATTTACAAAAGTCAAAACATTAACAACTCAGAAGTAAGGAAGTGCCACCAAAACCAAACAAGATCTTAAAGACAGCCTACTGAAGTAGAAAACAAACCCATAAATCAAGCCAATTGGGCTAGAAAATCTGAAAGTACTTGACAGAACAGCTATTACATACTTAAGCCGGGAGTAGTGTAAATACACAAATTTAGAGAATGCACAATAATAAAAAAACAAGAATGATTTAATAAAAATGTTCAAAGAACAAGGAGCTGTGTCAACAAACAGCAAAAGGTGTGGTATAAATAAAAAAAAACTCAAGGCTGCTCCGCACTAGTGGTGCTAAGCCTGAAGGAAGTACGAAGCTATGTAGCCTGCTTTGTTTCTCTTTATTTTCTCCTCATTCTTACTTTTTCTATTTTCTGGTTATTTTTTCTTTTTTACTCTCTTTATTTCTATTTTTCTTCTTAATTTTCTCTAGGGGCAAGTTAAAAAACCCCATGTAGTCGAAATTGGGCCCTTTCGTCAAGGGGAGGGGGCATTTGTATTGGAAAGAGATTTCCAGGCACTAGCCATTTTGCAAAGGGGCCAGCGTGTCTTCCCTCCTGTATTGAAAAGGGGCACGTATGTGTTCGGGGAAAATCACCTCAAGGGGGATGCGTATGCCCGGAAGAGAATTTGAGTGCGTCGGCAGTTGACGTTGAACCAGTGAGAAGCACAGTCGTCGGTGTCGCGAATCTCGCGTAGGTGGCTAGCATGAAGTGTCCCGAGCAACGTATTGTTGTGCCACAGACATGTTCCTCGTTCGGGAGCACGCCTCACAAGATCGAGCCCTGTTTCGACGAACTGTCTCCCCCCCCTCCCAGCGCCGCCTTCCGTGCAGAAGAACCATGCAGTTCCGGGGATAACGTCGCTTCCTCCGCCGAACCACATTGCAGTTCCGGGTATGGCTACGTCTCCCCCTCCGAGCCCGAGAACTGGTCTGAGAGAATGGACCAAAGACGCTATTTAAGGCCGAGCCGGCCCCATGTTAGGAGATTTTACCCCAGCCGACGTTGTCGTGCTGGCCGGCTCTGTACAAGCGACAACCTGCGACAGTAAACGCTCCTTTTTGTTGCTGTTTTAAAAACGGATTGCCTCCCTGTTTCGCCTTCGGGCTAAGGCTTCAGCGAAGTCCGCTCGACGGCTCGCCGCTCTTCGCCATCGCTACCATCGCGACAGAGCAAATTCATAACAGTGGTTGGCAGCTTCGGGATACGATATCCTACGTTTGGCAAGTCTGATCGGATCTCTGAGCACGAGGACGACCGCCGTGATAGCGTTTGGCTACGCTGTGATACGCTACCCTACGTTTGGCACGCCGGATCGGGCCCCTGGAAGCTCGAGCACGACCGACCTGATATCAGCGTTTGGCTACGCTGCTATACGCTACCCTGTTCTCATCGTTCGGCAAGCTGGGACAAGCAACCCCAGATCTCAACATTGGCAAGTTGGACCGGATCCCTGAAGGCCTGATACTGTTCGACGGCAGCCACGAGTTGGACCATCGTCGGCTACTTTGGTTGGGTGAGTGCCCAACGTTTACTGTTCATTTCGCCAGACCTCTCTAGCACAGGCAGATGTTAGGAGAGCGTTTTGTGTTTTTTTAGTTGTAATTTAAATATTCACCT